CTCTCATAAGAATGTCAACTGACTTTTCAATAGATTTTGCAAGCAAGAAGGGATTGGCATGAAATATTCAAAGTGATGAAAAACAAAAACCTATGACCAAGACTACTCTACTCAGCAAGGCTATCAATGAAATGGAAGGTGAGATAAAGAGCTTCCCAGACAGAAAAAAATGCTAAAGGAATTCATTACCGACAAGACAGAATTACAAACGTTAAGGAGACTTCTGTAAAAAGAAGGGGGGAAATAACCATAAATATGAATAATGAAGTGGCAATTACTATGTATCTATCAGTAATCATTTTAAATGTAAGTAGATTAAATGCTCCAATCAAAAGACATAGGGTAGCTGAATGGAAAAGAAAACAAAACCCATATATAAACTGTCTACAAGAGACCTCCTTCAGATCAAATGACACACACAGACTGAAAGGGTAAAAAAAGATATTTCATGCAAATGGAAATGAAAAAAAAGCTGGGGTAGCAATACTTAAATGAGACAAAATAGATTTTAAAACAAAGGCCATAAGAAGAGACAAGGAAGGACATTATATAATAACAAAGGGATCAATACAACGAGAGGACATAACCCTAATAAACATATATGCACCCAACATAAGAGCACCTACATATGTAAAGCAGTTCATTGACCAACATAAGGGGAGAGACTGACAGTAATACACTCATAGTAGGAGACTTTAACAGCCCATTGACACCAATGGACAGACCTTCCAGACGGAAAATCAATAAGGAAACAGCAGACTTAAATGACACAGGCTTCCAGACGGAAAATCAATAAGGAAACAGCAGACTCAAATGACACAGGAGACCAGATAGATTTAATAGATATTTTCAGAGCATTTCACCCAGAGTAGCAAAATATACATTCTTCTCAAGTGTACATGGTACATTTTCCAGGACAGACCACATGTTAGGCCACAAAACAAGTGTCAATAAATTTGAGGAGACTGAAGTTATATCAGCCGTCTTCTATGATCATAATGGTATGAAATTAAAAATCAACTACAAGAAAAAAACTGGAAAATACACAAACGCATGGAGGCTAAACAACATGATACTAAACAATGAATGGGTTATCAATGAGATCGAAGAAGAAATCAAAAGATACCTAGAGACAAATGAAAATGAAAACATGACTACTCCTAATCTATGGGACAAAGTGAAAGCAGTCCTAAGAGGGAAATTCATAGCAATACAGGCCTAACCTCAAGACACAAGAGCTCAAATAAACAACCTAACCTAACACTTAAAAGAACTAGAACAGGAGCAGCAAACAAAACCCAAAATGAGTAGAAGGAAGGAAATAATGAAGATCAGAGCAGAAATAAACAAAATAAAATCTAGAAAAACAATACAAAAGAGCAATGAAACCAAGAGCTGGTTCTTTGAAAGGGTAAACCAAACTGATAAACCTTTAACCAGACTCATCGAGAAAAAAAGAGAGGACTCAAATAAATAAAATCAGAAATGAAAGAGAAATAACTGCGGACTCTACAAAAATACAAGGGCTCACAAGAAAATACTACAAACAATTATATGTCAACAAACTGGACAATCTGGAAGAAATGGACACATTCATAGAAACATACAATCTCCCAAGACTGAGTCAAGAAGAAACAGAAAATCTGAACTGACCGGTTACCACCGTGAAATAGAATCGGTAATCAAAAAACTTCCTAAAAACAAAAGTCTGGACCGGATGGCTTCATAGGTTAATACTACCAAACATTCAAAACCAATTAACACCTATTCTTCTCAAACTATTCCAAAAAATTCAAAAGAAAGGAAGGCTGCCTAACTCTTTTTATGAGGCCACCATCAACATGATTCTGAAACCAGAAAAAGAAATCACAAAAGAAGAAAACCATCAGCTGTTATCCCTGATTAACATTGATGCAAAAATCCTCAACTAAATATTAGCAAACCAAATTCAGCAGTATATTAAAAATATCATATACCATGATCAAGTTGGCTTTATTCCTGGGATACAGGGTTAATTCAATATCCTCAAATCAATTAATGTGATACACCATATTAACAAATCGAAAGATAAAATTATATGATCATATC